TTTGTATTATCAAAATAAATATTACTCTCCTCCTTGACTTACGAATTTAGGTGAACTACTAGATTTGCAGCAAAGTTTTATCATTTCACTGTTATATTAGTTCGATGTAACCGTAAGTTCTATCCTAACAGTTTCTTCTTTTGCACTTCTCAATTTTGGAACTCTTTCGCTTTCAGGCAATTCTACTCATTATCTTATGTCTTCTTAATTCCTGTTTTTATTGTTCTCATATTATTTTCATATCTTCTTTCACACTCAGTAACCCTTTGCGTCTTAGGGGCTTTATTTCTTTTCTTGAAGTGAAATGATAGCATAATGAATTACGTATGTAAATATAGAAGGTGGATGGCATGAGACAAAAACACGTGTTCTCACCGTATTTATTTAACCTATACATCGAGGTAATCTTAACAGAATAAATTGGCGGGCACAATGTTAAAGATATAATACCGTGTTGATGGCAGATACTGAAGGAATCCTGCAGGAAGCCCTGGACGAGGCCGAATTAGCAGGAAGACATGACTAAACATCAATTATAAGAAGACAGAATATATGATTGTCAGCAAAAGGTACAGTACAAAATAAGAGTTACAAATTGGAGGTGTCAAAATAAAGCAAATACAGATATTTATCTAGGAAGCGTTTTTTTTTTTAAGATGGTAGTAAATGTGACAACAAAATCCAAGGGTGCATTCAAATAGCGAAAGTAACATTACCTATGCTAAACAAATTATTAATAAACAGGAAAATTTCATGCGAAATTAAAAAAAAAAAAGTGCTGAACTGTTAAAAAATATAACTGTCCCATATGGCAATGAATACGGAACAATTTTCTCACAGATGAAGAGAAGACATGAATCTACAGAAACTGAAGGATTGTGTGAATACCCTGAACGGAGAATGTGATAAATGGGGAAGTTTTAAATAAAATAGAAATTGTGGAAATGTTTCTATTACTTAGTTGAGTTCAGTCACTCTTCAAATAAGACCAGCTGCAGATTACTAATGTATTAGCTCTGACAACCGCTAAATACCGCTTTTGCTGTCTTGGTGTTTACCGAAGACCTCCCCAGAAGGCGGAATATGGCACAATGCCGTTTTTTAACGTGGGGCGATTCCGATCAAAAATTGTCTGTAGACCCCGTATACACGAGATCTAGTATCTATTTACCTCCCCAGACGAGACTCTGCCCTTCGACATAACCTCATCCCGGTTCCTCTCCGCCCAGATACAATAAGTTCGACAAGCAGAGTATTAGCAAACAGAGAAGTTTTGCTGTCTCGGTATTTACGCATGACCTTCAGCATGTAGCATAAGGCCGTTTTTTTTTTACGTGGGGCTATTCACAATCAGTAAACTCGGACAAAAATTACCCGAAGACCTCGTATACACGGGGCCGGGTAGCTGTCTACCTCCCCAGACCTCGTCCCGGTTCCTCTTTTCCCGGCGGCAGTGAGGTCAACAAGCGGAGCGCCAGCAAACCAAGAGGTTTTGCTGTTTCTCCTAGTCCCACGTTCCGTTCACACATTTATGCACGCGTGGGTGAGTTCAGCCCGTCGCTCGGGGTATAACAGAAACAAAAAGGACATTCATTCTTATAATCAGAAAGAAACAGTTGAAATTATTTAGGACACAAAACGAAAAAGGGTTCTTGTGTTAAATTGAAGGCAGGAGGAGAAACAGAAACAGAGATTAACCTTACCTAAAAGTTTATGTAAATGGAAAACAAAACAAAGAGAGGGAATGATAGTAAAAAAAAAAGACAAATATTGCTAAGAGCTAAAAAAAAATAGGAAGTTATGGACAGTTTACATTTTGAGAGAAAAAAGAAATAAATTAAACTACACTAAATTTATTAAATATCTACTTGGACAACAGATTTTCTGTGCTGTTCGCTCTTCAACGGGTGCTCCAAGTTTAAATCCAGTGCCAAACTCAAGGATGGTGGTGTAGTGGATAACGGCAAGAAATCGGCGAACCAAGTTCGAATTCCAGTCGTGTTCATTATATACCCTTACGCGTAAATACCCTTGAGAAAGTGTTTGTGATCACGAATGTTCCGGTGGCCTACAAGTGTACTGTGTGTGTGTGTGTGTTATTAGATTTTAGGTGCCTTTTATGAATGGATGTGTTTTTTTCTTTAAAATTCTAGATGCTTCGAAAATTGGGGGTTAGATGTTTTAGTTATATTCTGTTTGGTAGACCGCTGCTTTTGAGTCTAATGCCAGCTCTCTCTTGAAACTGTTTTTGAAGTATTTGTTATAACTTTGATAGTTGACGGCGAAACAGGTCAAAATAAATGTTTTCAAAACTGGCTTATTTATTTGCTATACCGTCGGATTCTCATCCAAATTTCACACACACACACACACACACACACACACACACACATATATATATATATATATATATATATATATATATATATAGTCGAAATTCGACGTATGAGGTCAAGCAGATCAGTTTCCAGAAACCGACAGCTCGACACCGGCACATGAGATTTGATTATAGTGGTGAAGGCCTCATGCAGGACCATCCACACTTTTTTGAAGAGACGAATACAGAGACCTGGTGCACCAAATGCCACAAGGTTCCCAAACGACCCTCCGCAGGTTTTGAATTCAGAATTGTCCTTCTCCTAGACCAGTTGCCATCCAGGGCTATAGAACCCAGTCTGTCCTGCTATTTTACCCATAGCTGGAGGGAGAAGAGGAGGATTCATACCTTTCCCAAGGGTATTAGCACGTAAGTGAATGTAATGGCTTCGAATGGAATTCGAACCCGGCTCTGCGATTCCTCAATCCAAGCCGCTATCCATTACTCCACCGTGCTTAAAAAGAAACAAGAGGAAAAACTATTCTTATCCTACGCGTTTTATCCTCTGAGGGACTTTATCAAGACAATATAGGATTTATTTTGTTGCACGTGTTTATATACAAAGGCGAGGATGTCATTGCTTTATCAAGGCTTTTTAATTAGAGAACATTCATGAATGTTCCTCAGGTGGTTGAAAGGTCAGTGAAATCATGTAAAGGACCCAAAGTGTCATAATTCAAAGTCTGGCATAAAGTAAACTGAGCGAGTTTTATTCAAGATTTTTTTTTTACTGTACATTGATGCACATATGTCCATCTCAATCCATAAAAATCTAATCAGAATCTAAACAATATTCTTTTGAAATAAATTCTTGAATATTACTCGCTCACTCAGAGAACGAAACAAGTCTGCTGAAAATAGTTTTTCCTTTTGTCTCTCTTTTTATTCATTTTGTCTCCTCTATAGATACACTCCATCTGAGAATATTTACATACATACACACACGCGCGCGCGCACACACACACACACACACACACATATAACCCCTCTAACCTAAGCAGCGGTAACCAAATATATATCCCTGTCGTCGGCACTTGACAGCGGTAACCAGTTATGTCACCCAGTCGTCGGTCCTCAAGTTCCTTCAGAGCGCCATGGTTACCATTTAGCTGACTGTTCACTCGTTAGCGTGTGACACGTTTTGTTGTTGGTATCATGTTGGTGGCACGGTTTCACTCGACTAAGCTGGCGTTTGTTAGTTCACGACCATTCAGTCCTCTACCACGTTGGGTTTTTTTTTTTTTATCTCAGTGGGTGAGAAGATCGTTGATGAAGCAAAACTGAAGTGAAGACAGTTTGACAATTTGGAGCTACACAAGAAAAACAAGAATCCTGTAGAATAAAGAATTAACTCGGGTTAAAAATGTTACAATGATTTGGTTTATATAGGACTAGCAGCATGGCCCGGTGTTGCCCGTGCTTGATTCAAAAATCGTACGACTCATACAGCAATCGCTATCACTTGACTTAAAATATTTTTGCCCTTCATTGCCTTTAAAGGAGTGCCCTTTGCCGTGCTGATGTTGCTACATGCTTTACTTCTTGCCTATTTCACACTGCGAATTTTTTCGAAGCTCTATACTAAACATTAAATCTGTTACGAAAAAAGAACTAAACAAAATGTCAGTTGTTGCTGTTCCTGCCGATTCGTGGCAGCCAGCTTTAAACTCTCACTCTGGCCAGTCCAAAATGGCCGCAGACTACATGAAAACTGCCGTAGAAGCATGAAAAAATCGATTATTTCCACTGTCGATGGGAGTTGGGAAATGCAAAGTCGGTCTTGGTTTTCCCGCTAACTTGGAGCATATGCATGTAAATTTTGGTGCAAATCCGTCGAAAATTGCGCCCTGCATTCGGTACACACACACACAAACACACACACACATCCTGCCTTTTATATATAGAGATTTGTTGTATACAGTGATTCTAATCCTTCTCATTTGTAATAATCAAATGACACTGGGATCCCCTTCTGTTATAGTGGAACACACCTATTCTATAGTTAATAGACTCTCCCACCTATAATAAGTAGGAGTAGTAAGAGTAAGGAGTCGCTCAGTGGTTCGGTCAGTCAGTCGATGCCGGACGACCGTTAGTCGGATACTAAAGTATCAGCGACCACAACTATATTACTCTGCGTCATTACCTATTATATTAAGTTCCTAATGTTTTGTACGTCGAACCTATTTTAGGACCGACTTAGTACAAATACAAGCCTCCACTGTGAAATCACTCCATAACACCTTCTGAGTATGCAGCTTGTTTTAGTAGTAGCTTAAAGTTCTAAGTTTCCGTCTTCATATACGGCACAAGGTCTTTGGTCAGAGAGCTCTTGGCGAACGATGCGGATTCCGTTGTGTTTCTCTTCTTCTTGTGTCTCCTGTTGTCACTGAGTTCAAAATTATGTGGTGTCTTACGTTCGGGATGGGTGGGGTTGACTGGGACCTTAGTTCGGTTGTCTTTTACCCTCAGTATCAATCTTGTCTAAATTTCCATATAAAAATGTACATTTACTCAAGTTTTCCAAATTTGTACTTGTCCATCCTCTTTTTAAAAGGGTTCAGAGGAATTAACCCCCCTTTACCTCCCACTCCCTTTACACTTGGCTTCGTACGCTATATAGTCGATGCTAATCTCTCTCTCTCTCTCTCTCTATCTATCTATCTATCTATCTATCTATCTATCTCTTCTTTTCTTCCTTCTCTTTCTTCTCCTCTTTTTCCTTCTCCTTTTCTTTCTCCCACTTTCTTAAAAGTCAACCTCAGCTCGGCTTCCTGGGAATGGAATGATAAATCCTTTCAAAAAATCCAAAGAATCAACAGAGGTGTCTCTTAATGTTCGCTTCACGGTCCAATCCTCTTTTTACTTTACACAAGGGATCTGCCTAATAATATACTCCAATCATTTTTTTAAATATCTATGCTGATAAGGATATACGGGCGCCCCTCTAAAATTCTAGATGACTACAGCTTAACAGCTGATCTCTGCTTTGACCTAGCTTTAACAGCACAGTGGGAGGAAAACTGGTCGATCACATTCGATGCCTTGCAAACCAAACTAGTGACGTTCCATCATCACTAAGCAGATCCAGGATTTTCACTGGTCGCGTTGAACGGGTGTTTCCTCAGTGAGGTTCCGTGCTTTGAGTGCCTATTGCGACTTAAACTCAACCCAGATTTCAAGTTCAACTCGTACTTACGATCAATCGCTAAGGATTCTGGGGAAATGGTCTGTTCCCTGTACTCTTTCAGTAATTGCCTAAGTTATCCTGTACCTTTTACAAGAAGCAGATAAGGCCGAAAATGAAATAACACTGCCATATATGGACAAGAGCTGCCCAGCGGCCGAGCGGACACTAAATTTCCGCCTATCACGATGAAAGTATTCTCTCAAGGAGGCAATTTGCCTTGAACGCCTACTGGGACTTAAGCTCATCTCGGACCTCAAGTGGAATTCATATATACTTCCTATAGTTAAAGATGCTGGAAAAATGGTCACGCTCCAGTAAGTAGCTCATGCTATACTCTACGTTTACAGGAGCTCTATCAGATCAAATATGGGGTACTACTGTATAATATATGGTCTGGAAGTACCCAGTCTTCACTTTCCAGGCTTGATAGCGTTCAAAAGCGTCTACTCGGCCTTGTGAGTGATGAATTATTCCCCCCACTTACAGGCCCTATCCCACAAACGAATCGTTGTCAGCCTTTCCACTAATTCCACCAATTCTAACCCTAACACCCATGCTGCATAGACTGAGTCGAACCATCCTCATTGCATTCATATTCCATTTGTAAGAAGGAAGTTCCACTCGATCAGCTTCTTACCACGAATCGAGAATCCCGAGAGGATGCTTTCCTCACCATTACAATCTTAACATCTTTACGTCTGGGGTTAATCGTCATCATCTCCCACATATCCTCATAAACTGCGGTTCTTATCTTTTTCTCTGATACCCACCCAATAATTCTCTGCCTTGATGGCTCTTAGGTTTTGCATAGAGTGAGCATTATAAAATAAGAGTAATGGGTTACTCTAATGGGTTACTCTAATGTGCTAAGACATTGCATTTTACTGATTTAAAAAGGAAACGTGTTAGTTTTATATATTTCTTTGGAAGGAATTTATTCTTCTTTCCATAAATCTATTAGAATATCATGAGTATGACGCAATTTTTTTAATGTCTTTTACTTTATTTACTAAGCATGGCCGCATAACCGAACGAATGATTAATGTGAAGCAATTGCAATATATTTTATCATTATTACGATCACCATTATTGTTCGAGTTATAATGATATCATTATCCTTTTCCTTCTTTTCTTTTTCTATTATTCCTTTTCGGTGTTCTTCCCTCTCCTATTTTTTCTTTTCCTCTTTCTTTCATCTCTTATTTTCCTTTCCTCTTTCTTTTCTCTCCTATTTTCCTTTTCCTCTTTCTTTCATCTCTTATTTTCTTTTCCTCTTTCTTTTCTCTCCTATTTTCCTTTTCCTCTTTCTTTCATCTCTTATTTTCCTTTCCTCTTTCTTTTCTCTCCTATTTTCCTTTTCCTCTTTCTTTCATCTCTTATTTTCCTTTCCTCTTTCTTTTCTCTCCTATTTTTCCATTTCGATTTTCTTCTTCTTCTATGTCCTTCTTTTACATAATTTCATTTTAATGTCTTTCGTCATTAAAGCTTGAAATGACTGAACGACATTATTATACTCGTTCATTTTTTCACATTATTTTAAGACAAGCTGCCAATTTGAAATAATTAATTTGACTACAGGCGCCATTATTTGTCATGATATAGTCAAAGTTCATTGTAAACGAAGACATACAATTTAGTTGAGCTGATAATGAAAAAAAATATATTATATAATAGAAATATAAGCTTAGTCAAACGAAATGCAAGTTTGTATGAAATTAATTTATATTCAAACCTATAAATATCTATATTTCTCTATCGTAGTTAGCTGACTACTAAATAATTTCCGTCTTCTTTTATCAACTTGATTCATCTAAAAATCAAGTTAAATAGATTTTATTCAATTATATATCTAACATTATTTGCAATGACTTATTCCACTTATTAGGAAGCTCTTCGATATATTTTGAGAAAAATTTCATCAAGTTTTGATGTAAAAACAGTTTTCGATGGACTTTTCAATCAAATTTCATTAGAAAAAGTTTCCTGATCAAAACGTTTTGCAGACATCGAAAAAGATTGGTGGAAGTTCCTGGGGGTATGGCGACTGGAAGTGCACTGATCGATTTTCAAAATATTTTCCTGTTTTTTTTTTTCTTTTTCTTAACTTTCTGCTTGTTTTAATGATTTCACCCCAAGCAAGGCGATAAAGCCACTAAAACACAAGGGTGGGGGGTACCGAAAGTAAAGGAAACTGAGTAGAAAGGGCATTGGAAAAAAACAAGATTCCGTGAGACAGATGACAGCGATTGAAGTTGCATTTAAATTCCTGAAGATCATAGTTGACAAGAAAACAAAATGCCGGAAGAGAGTTCCACAAGAATGGCGTGTGAGAGAAAAAAAAATTATCAATATATAAGTTACGGTTACATTGTCCGGACTGTTGTCCTCATCTTTATTGCCATATTCACGACATTTCGGCCATTGTACACTCCGGGATTTTCCATGTGATTGGAATTTCGAACTCAACACTTTATTTCATCCATAGGGGTAGATTGCTCTAGTTCCACGTACCATGTCTTTTCCGGATGTCCAAGTTATTTCTCTTTAACTCAACTCTCTAAGTCTTTGTTCACCACTGCCGTAGCCAGCTATTGAACTCACAACTCTTTGAGTCAAGTCACTGGATGCAACCAACACTTTTATCCACATGCCCCAGTTGTGAATATGGCAATAAAGATGAGGACAACAGTCCGAACAATGTAAATAATTACAATACCTCATCTTAGAAATATAGTCAAGTTACCTTTACAACTAGCAATTTCAACAGTAAAAAAACGAGACCTAACTGCCAATCTAGGACTACGCTTAAATTCATGAAGCCGAGGTACCAATGAGGAACGCTCACAGGAATAAATGTCATGAAAATATTTGTAGAAAAGGAACAACGGAGCTAAGTAACGGCAGTGAGGAAATGTTTGAAGCCAAGATGCCATTTCAGATTCAATAACATTATAGGTTCTTTAGATTTTGTCAAGAATCTCTTAATACATAGCAGACCAGACCTGGCAGCAATATTCAGTATATGAACGATTGATAGAATTATAAAGGTGTAAGACAGATTCGAGTGAGAAGAATTGTTTAGCACGACATAACTTTCTTAGCAGCTGGCTGTACAACTGACTCGATATAATTCGTTCCAATTAATATCAGTGGGTAAGATATTAACGCGCAATCAATATAGTTTATTATGAGGGGTTTAGAACGAAGAGAATCGTAGCTTGATCTAGAAGAGCAATCAGCGTTTCAAGTTAAACTGAATCTCTTGAAAATTTTTCCGTATGCTTGATTAGAATCAAAAGAAATATCGTATAACGAATTGCTATAACGTGGAGTTTTAGAGACGCAATGGGTTACGCTCGTAGAAGACAGCATCAGCTAGTCTAATGGAAAGCAAAAAGAAATGTTCTCTAAGACTATTAAAAGAGTTTGGTTTTAGTTTAGTTTAGTTTTAGAAGTATTAAAATTATAAATCAATTCTTGCCCCCAATTAAAATCAGATTCAAAGACATTATCAGGATCGGTTGCCAATCTGACTTTATCGAAACTTATCTAATGGTAAGTCTGAGAGTCTACTAAATCTAACAGGAGTAAATAATTGACGTCGGTTGAGAATTGGTGATACTGAGAAGCGATTCTATTCCTGTTGTATTGTGGCCATGCGTTCTCTTTAATCGTCCGTGTATGCTATCACTAAGATATTTTAGCGTAGTCCAAATTTATTCTTAACTACCACTTATGATTAGTAATTATGGTGATAGCGTCGTCATTAAAATTGGTCCTGAAAAACTTATTTATAACTCAGCCTTCTATAACTACTCGTCGTTGTGCAGAGATAAACATGTGTTTCAAAATATTCCACACGAAAGTACAATAGATCAAATTCAGCGAACATCTATGCATAAAATACATTGGAAACACTTTCAAACTCCTCCAATAACCGACTTATTTCCTGTACAATGCCAGAAGTAAAGCCTACAAAATCCACATATAATAATAAGCCAATAGCCATAAAAGTAAACACACACTACCTACTAACTCCATAACAGCCACCATTGAAATGAATTAATCCAATCTTAATCTAAAATTCGTCTACACCACATCTAAAACAATAAGAGATATAGTTAGAACCAAAACGAAATAGCAACAACAGGACAGAGGCAGGAATATACAGAAAAGAATGTACAAAATGTCTAATAACGTATATCGGTGAAGCATCCAGAAACCTAAAAAGAAGATTCAACAGCAGAAATATGCTGAATCTCAATACTTTAAACGCACTGGTAGTTCACCGTAGCGCATTTGACCACAATTTCGACTTAATAAATGTCAGCCTGATGAGGAGAGAAAAAGATCCAATAAGAAAATTATCACATTTCAAGCTTGTGAAACTCACTTCCGGCTACATGCTTCCCAATCAACTTTGATCTTCAAAATTTTAAATGCAATGTCAATCGTTATCTTCTGTCTTCTTAATTCTTATTCTTTTATTGTCTTCTCTTCTTATTTGTAGTTTTTTCCTTTAACACACAGTAAGTCCCTTGCGTTCTAGTGGCTTTATTGAC